GCATTCCTGACAGGGTTTTCCAGGTTTCAGCCATCTGGCCCCAGCCTCCTAACTAGCCAGGACCACAGGTATGCCAGACTTGCTTTACTGGGCCAGAAACTGAACCTGGGCCTCTCACACGGCCTCAGGCACCACAGAGCAGCACCATTCCACCTGGGCCACAGAGGCATACTGATCAGCAGGGCTGGCAGTCACACGGCCACCAACGGGTTCAGATCTCGAATTAACCTGAAAACACTAGGTACATATGTGCCCAAGATCCTAAGGAGCTGGAGGGCTGAGGTAAGAGGACCGTGACCTTGTTAAGGGTGCCCTCAACAATTTAAAATCCAAACGCCAAACCCTGACCGTAAGTGACTTTCAGAACCTCTGCCTGCCTCTCAAGCTCCTCTACGCAATTTCCTGTTTTAAAATCTCTAGCCACACTTGACTTTCCTCTGCCCCATGGCACCAGTTACCTTGCGCCTGCAGTGGGCACGCTCTCCCTCACACACACATTTCCCCCCCGACCCCATACTGGCAACCCCTTCTTGTCACAAAATATACTCTCCCCTTAAATATGTTGGTTCCACAGACCTTCCCTGACCACTTAAGTCCATGATGGCTTCTTCAAAGTCATTATGTATTCTACCGAAATATTTACCACTACCTGACATTTGTTTCTCTACTTAACGTTTGCCTCTCCACCACCACAGTGTAGGCTCCCTGAGAAGAGAGCACATGCCGGCACTCACAGCCCTGCCTGGTCCAGCTGACCAAGCCCATTCCTCATCTTACCTCCAAACACAGGTTTGCTCTCAGGTGTGCTGGCCACGTTGAAGGCAAAGGGTGTGCTCTGATTGGGGGTGCCCAGGCTGTTCTGACTCAAGCCCCCCCCAAAGGGGGTGGTGGTGCCGGTGGTCCCACTCTGTCCTGCTCCAAAGCTGAAGGCTCCAGACGTGGAGCTGGTGCCTGGGGTAGCCACATTGATTCCAAAGCCCCCGCTGCTAGCAGGAGCGGCCGAGCCCCCAAACGTGAAAGGCGACGGAGCTGTGCTGCCAAACACTGTGCTACTAGTCCCACTGCTGGAGGTCTGGGTTGTAGCTCCAAAGCCAGAGGTGGTGGCTGCACCGAAGGAGAAGATCGCTGTGGTGCTGCCAAAGGCTGGCTGGGTGCTGGCAGGGGCGCCGAAGGCAGAGGCTGTGGTTTTCAAACCACCAAAAGCTGACTGCGTGGTGCTGCCAAAGGTGGGCTGAGCTGGGGTTGGCGCTGGAGTGGCCGTCAGGGCTGGGGCTGCAGAGCTTCCAAATGTGAAGGAGCTGCCAAAGCTGGGAATAGCTGGCTCGGTGGCCCCCTGCTGCTGCCCGTCAGTGGCCCCAAATGTGGGCTGAGAACTGGCTCCTGTCCCGGGATATGATGGGAGAGGGGGCTTGGTGCTGGAGCCAAAGGGAATGTTGAATGTGGGGGTGGTCGTGTTACTGAATGTCAGCACAGGCTGGCTGGTGGTGACTGGGGCTGAGGTTGTGAGGGTGCTGCCAAAACCACCAAAGCCAGTGGTGCTGCTGCTGGCAGCTGTCTGAGCAGCACTGGGAAGGGACTGGCCAAAGCTGGTGACTGTGGTTGATGCAGGGAGGGCAGGAGGCTTGCCAAACTGGAATATGGAGCCCATGGGTGGGGTGAAACTGGCACCAGAGGCTGGGGGAGCCCCAAAGAGGAAAGGCTGTGAAGTGGAAGAGGTGGTGCTAGTCACGCTGCTCATGGTGCTGGTGACAGTGCTCACAGCAAAGCCAAAGGCGGGTTTCGAAGCAGAGTCTGTCTGTGGATGTGCTGGCTGTGGTGAGGAAAGCCACTGTCGAGGTGGCAGTGGCTAGGCCAGTGAAGACAGGGGCAGTTGTGGCTGAAGTAGTGGGTGCAGTCACTGTCTGACTAAAGGAGAAGGGTGATGGCAAGGGTACTGATGTAGGGGGCCCCATGCTGCCAAAGACAGGCTCGAAAGTCAGGGGGGCAGAGGTGCTGGTGGTTGTGGGGACGGTGGAGCTGGAAGATGCAGTGGCCGTGGTTGCAGGGCTGGTTGGCAAGGGGCCTTCCTTCTCACTTTTAGGTGGGATGGGGAAAATGGGCTTGAATGTGGGAGATGCTGTAGATGCAGCAGGAGCAGCAGGGGGAGCAGGGTTAGAAGATGGGGGGCTCAGCATTCCAAGCAGAATACTTGGCTTGGGAGTGGGGGATGGGGCAGGTGGGTCTTGGGATTTGGCAGGTATCTCAGCCTGCAGGGCTGGAGGTGGCGAAGTGGTGTCAGTGACTGGTACTGTGGAAGAAGCAGGGGTCAGTCCCATGAAAATAGCTGGGGGTTTCGAGTCTGAAGCAGTGCCCAGAAGGGGCTCTGACTGGGAAGAGCCAACAGGGGCCAGGAGGCTGGGTGTCTTTGGAGGCGAAGGGGCCACAGTGGCTGGGGCTCCAGATGATTCTGGGAAGAGTAAGATAAGTGCATTCTGAATACTTCAAATATTATGGTATTCAACATTTCTGTATTCTCCCTGTGATTGCCACACACAAAATACTAGGGATCTAGCAATCAATAAATATAACGAAATATACCATAGTGATAAAGTTATTTCTACTCCTCAGGTCCTAAGAAAGACAGAGGGGGATAAACTGTGGTCTAACTGGGGGTTAAATGTGTGGAACTACAGACAGCTGAACCATCTGAACTGTTCTAGGCATGCCCCCTCGGAATTAGTATTATTCTGGGCCTGTGGTCTAATTAATAAGCATGTACCATCTTAGCCATATCATCACACTGATGTCTCACCAGGGAGAACATTATTCCCATTTTACAGAAGATATAACAACAGCCAGGCTCAGAGCAACCAAGCAACTGTCTTTCAAATCAAGAGCCAAAACTAAGCTGCCTCCCTCAGATTAATACACCTTCTGTATCACACCTTCCCTACAATGTCCTGATTATAGAGTTCTGACACTTTGAAGTCTGTGCCAGCTTCAGGTTTGGTCAGTCTGAGTAGATTTAATCTTAAGAACAATGTTCAACGACTGACAGGTATGATGTTTTTACTTCAACCTAAACACAGGCTGAAGCTCAAAAGTCACCGTATGCTGCAAAGGAACCTCTCCCACTCACCTGGGAAAAGTGGGAGTCCTGGGGAATTCTGCATCTTCTTCAGGCTCTCTAGCAGTGGGTTAGTGCTTGGGGCTGGGAGGGAGGTTGGTGAGGAAGTAGTCCCAGCAGCAGGCAGGGCAAACGTAAAAGGTGGCTGAGTAGCAGGTGGCTTCTCAGTGACAATGTTCAAGGCAGCATCTAAAGAAGGAGGAAAAGATGTGGCTGTCTTTGGGAATTCTTTCCACGTGGCATATCAGAGGGCATGGATAACACCTCTATTGTAGAGGTGGCCATCGTTCTCCAGGTTTCAATGAAAACTCAAGTGAGTCTTCAGATGAGAGAGACCAAAGGGAAACATGGAACTCTTTCTGGGATGTTTCTAAAGAAATTCTTTTAAGATAAGAAACAAACAAACAAACAAAAAACCCAAAGGAAACATACACTTGTAACCTCTGTGATCTACAGTCCTTACCAGTCTTGTCCTCCAAGACCTTGTTAAACCACTGGAAGGAAGCTTTCTTTTCCATATCAAGGTCTTCTGCCGTGATTGAATAACCAAGCTGAGGAGCTGGAGGCTACCAAAGAGAAAGAAAAGTCAAGTCAACCAGAAGGAACTTATATTCAGGCTTCCTAAGACTTGGAAGAGCCGAGTAGGGTGTGCAGAGCAGACAGACAAGACCATACCAAGGTCAGCTGGTCCCCTCGCCTGGAGGGCAGTAGCTGAATCTTCCTTTTACGCTGCCCAGAGCTGCCAGGGGTAGAAGGAGAGTTCCACGAATTCTGTTTCTTCCCTGTAGTTGTATCTGCATCTAAAGAAGAAATACAGACTTGTTTCCTTCCCTCTTCCAGAAGTGGATACTTCTGTCTAAACACTTGTTTTTTTAATACTGAGTTTTCACTGGGTATCTGAAAAGAATCTATCTTCCAAGGTTCAGATCCTTGGATATGTTTGCAAGATTATCTCTAAGAATAAAGAGGATACAAAGAGGTAAGTACTCCAAGTGCATGCATACCACTGCTTACTAGACAGCTTGATGGCTCCTGGGTGTCTCAAGCTGGGTGTAGCTCTATCCACCAGTTATCATGTGTTACACTGTCATCTATGTTACTACTCACCCTTATCAAATTAAAAGTCTCTGAAGGATAGGGACTTTTATCTACCAAGCCCCAGAAATAACAACACTCAAGACATGGTTTGTCTTTTTTTACTTTTTTAATTGCCAGAGGGCACATGCACTCACTAGGGAGACAGAAGAAACAGTGAGAGGGAGAAGGCAATTGGGTTCAGTTCTGTCACAGTCCCTTCTCCACTCTCATCCTGTCGGGATTTCCAGCATGCACGCACGCACACACACACACATGTGCCTGGCATAATTTTTGAGGCAACAGGGATTATTATTTTCTTTTTGCTGGAATTTGAACAGTGGTTAGCCACGTGGGATCTGGCTCCTTTAACAACCAGGCCACTGGGCCAGATCAACAAATGGTTTTCAATAGGTATCCATCTGTGTATCCTCCATAAACACTTCCACTACCACCAACAGCCATGCCTGCTCACATATCTACTTACCCCTTTCTCCCTGGGACTCCTTATCTGTCACCAACGGAGTTGAAGAACTGGAATGATGACATGGCTCCTCTTCTCTGTAGGGAGAAAAGGCAGAGTTGAATTCAGAAAGACTTCTTAGACATGCTGCTAGATTATTTTTTATATCCTTATAACCCCCAAGTGACCAAAGCCTGGAAAAATCATGACTTAAGATCTCAGTATACCAGAATAAAAAAGTCCAAAGAAAATTCCTTCAGAAATAAAAGACACAGCTCATGGAAAAATCTGCTTTATAACTATAAAACAATAAACTATGAAACCTTGCCTATATCCTGTCAAGTTCCTGAGAATTCTATTGGGTCGTTGGAAAAATCATGACACATTTTTGCAGAGAAAAATGGAAAAATATTGTCACTTTTCTGACAACCCAACAGATGCAGATGTGAGGCCTGAGAAAGTGGGGTTCCAGCGACTAAGTACCTAGAGGGTCAGCTGGAGTCCAGAATATGAAGGCTCCTGCCCATGGACATGACTCTCTGTACTCCACTCCAAGTGGCCTCTACTCTCATACCCTGATCACCTATGCTGGAGTGGAAGGTAGAGAGCCAGAGGTCTTCATAGTCAGTGAGACAGTAGGACCAGGAGGAGACAAGAGCAATGAATGGGTCCTTCACTATCTTGCTTAAAGCTTGGACTCTGATTTTGCAGCCAGAGCTGCAGAAAGCCTAAAAGCCAAGTGAATGTCCTTCCTTCTCTCATTTGTCATTTGTGCACACAGCTAACAGTAACTGGAGAATGCTGCTTACCTTGTTTTCTTCGCTGGCCTCTCTGGTGTCTGCGAGCGGGATGAGGCTGGGCTAGAGAAGGGTGATGAGCTGGGGCCACTTCTCTTCCAGAGCTACAAGTCAAATAGAGAGTTACACTACTGAGCCTTGCTGATACTGGAGCATCCAACCTGCAACGTAATGTTGTGTCTATTCATCACTGCATATAAAGACTCTCAAGGGACTAAAAACAATTTCTTCATGACACAGTCAACTGCAGTTTGAGGCCTAGACTCAGCAGCTTAAAACTAACAACAGATGCATGTGTGCATGCCCAAAATCCTGAGAGGAGAATGGAGAAGGGATTGCAGCATGGCCATCCCCTGGGGGTGATTTCTCACTTTCTGTCTCTCTGGCAAGAGCACACACCCTATAACAAAAATCTCTGTCTAAAACCAAAAACAATTTCTTTATGAAGAAAGACTCTTGAAAACAAAGTCAATTACTAATATTAAACTATAGAAAAAAAGAAGAGTCTAGAAAAGTAATGGATTGCTAAGTAATAAATATAGAAGGAATTAATGCATTTTTTGTACATATGAAAAAGCAGAATGGGGCTGGCCCTGTGGCCTAGTTATTAAGAGACCTAGATCCCACACAGTCAGCTGTGTAGTTTGAATCCTGATCCTTGCATGTTAAAAACATGCTAGGCACCTGTGCCCCAAATCCCAACAAGATGGAAAAATGTAAGAAAAGGGATTGCAGCATGACCATGCCCAACTTGGGGGGGTGCTCTCTCCTTCTGTTTCTGGTGAGCACACAAGCTGTCAGGCCCAAATAAAGAGCAGAATGTCAGATTTAGTAATGGTACACAGCTATAATACATACATTTAGATTTAATCTATAAAACCCACAAAAGTAAATCAAGAAACTATTCCACTGATGATAAGCCAGTGAACTAACTTAGTCTGGCTTTCATTTATGTTTCAAGTTTTTGGTTTTTTTGAGAGATTTTTGCAATAGGGTATGTGCACTCACTGGAAAGAGTCAGAGAGACAAAATGTGAGAAATCACGAACAGCTATTTGCTGCTGCTGCTGTGTATAGTAATGTCTTTGTCTTGACTGAAATGCATGGTAACTGTGCTAGAAAAAGATATGTAATACACTGTAAAGATAAATGCGATTAAATGTAATATAAAAAAATAAAAAATAAATGAAAAATCACCCCCCAGGGCAGATGGCCACACTGCAATCCCTCTCCTCTTGGGATCTTGGGCATGCACGCACACATACCTGGCATGAGTTTTAAGTTGCCAGGTCTGGGACTTGAACTGCAGTTGACTATGTGGAAGTCTAGCAACATAACTATTATGCTATCTGCTGGTCCCATCACCTTGCATTTTTAAAACAAAGTGCCCTAAACACTCAAGACTACACATCCTTCAACAATGAAGGCCCAGAAATGCCAAAGGCGGGCCGGCAGGTGACATGGTGGTTAAGGTGTTGGATTCCCATTTGGCTGACTGCAGTTAAAGTCCCAGATCCAGCGGCTTGAAAATCATGCCACATGGGTGCACATATGTGTGAGCATGCCCCAAATTCTGAGAAAATGGAAGAAGGGATTGAAGTGTGGTCACCCCTCTTGGAGGGTGATTTCTCATTTTTCCTCTCTCTGGTGAACACACATGCTTTATGGAAAAAAAAAAATCAGAAAGAAAAAAACCACTGCATTGTAGAAAAAAATCCTAAATAACATGCAGATGAATATTAAAAATTGTGCAGCTTTTCCAAAAACACAATCAATTGTATTTCTTTTATTTTTTTCTTTTTTTTCTGGCTGTTGGGTTTGTTTGTTTGCTTGTTTTGTTTTGTTGCCAAAAAATACTGTAACGTTCCCTGGGCTGTGGAGGCAAGGGACCATTCTGATTGAAAAAGAAATGACTATAAGAAAAGTGGATTTTTCCTCTTTCCAAACGTATGTATTGAATTTTTCCTCCTAAGACTGACCCTGTATGGGACACTTGCGAGGTACACTAAGCATTTTATTCCCTTAAGCCTTCCCATGGCAGTTGTATTCTGTACATAAGCAATAATCAACTTTTTTTTTTTTTTTGAGATAAAGAGTGTGCGTGCTTGCCAGAGAGACAGAAAGCAGGAATTCACATCCCCCCACCTCCCGTGGGATGGCCACGTCACAATCCCTTCTCCATTCTCCTCTCAGAATCTTGGGTAAGTATGCACACACTCTCAGTGTGAGTTTTAAACTGCCGGGTCTGAGACTCAAACTGCGGTCAACTATGTGGGAGTCCAATGATTTAAACATTATGCCATCTGCCAGTTCCGAGCAATAACCAAGTTTTAAAAACACTACTTATAATAGCATCAAAACCACATACCTATGAATAAATCTAACAAGAGAGAACTAAACCCTCTGTAAGAAATAGGAAATGATGTAAATAAATGAAGGATGTACTGTGCTCAGATTGGAAGACTCACTATTGTAAAAACATCATTTCTATCCCAAACAATCAGTAGGTTAAAGACGATTTTTTAACGAATTATTTATTTGTTGTTGTTGTTGTTGTTATTATTATTATTAATTTGACCAGAGACAGACAGAGAGAAAGAGAAAGTGAGAAAGCAAGCTGCCAGGTCCAGGAATCAAACTGTGGTCAGCAATGCAGGAGTCCAGTACCTTTTTAACTACTGCGCCACCTGCTGGCCCTGGTTAAAGAATCTGAATCAGTATCTCAGCAAGCATATGTTTTAGAAATTGATGAGTTGATTCTAGAAGGTTTATGAAAATGGAAAAAGTCAATATCTAAGACAAAATTAAGACAAATGAGAAAGTGAAATGATTTATTCTACTGGATATCAAGTTTTTTTTTTTTGGGGGGGGAGAGGTTTCTGCTATAGGGTACGTGCGCTCGCCAGACAGACAGAGACAGAGAGAAATCACCCCCCAGGGGGGATGGCTATGCCGCAACCCCTTCTCCTCCGTTCTCCTCTTGGGATCTTGGGCACGCACACACACGCACCTGGCGTGAGTTTTAAGCGACCGGGTCCGGGATGCGAACCGTGGTCAACTACATTGGAGTCCAGCGACATAGCCATTACCCTAACTGCTGGTCCTGGATATCAAGAGTTTTTAAGACTGTGTCATGACAGGGAAAAAAAAAAAACAGGATAGAATCCAATTTAGAAATGGACCCAGATACAGATGGACACTGAAAGTATGACAAACGGGGCACTGCAGAACACTAGGGAAAGGGCTTGTCCTTTCAATAAAACCCACAGAAAGAAACTGCTATTTCTGTGGAGGGAAAAACCCAAAGCTTTTGACCCTTGCCTTACAACACACACAAAAATCCACTGCAGCCTTATTATAGATCTAAATATGAAAGATAAAATAACAAAGCCTCTAGAAGGTAGCATAAGATAAAATCATCAGGGACCAGCAGTTAGCGTAATGGCTATGTTGCTGGACTCCCATGTAGTCGACCGTGGTTCGCGTCCCGGACCCAGTGGCTTAAAACTCACGCCGGGCGCATGTGTGTGCGTACCCAAGATCCCGAGAGGAGAATGGAGGAGAAGGGATTGCGGCGTGACCATCCCCCCTGGGGGGTGATTTCTCACTTTCTGTCTCTGTCTGTCTGGCGAGCACATGCGCCCTATAGCAAAAAAAAACCAAAAACAAAATAAAAACAAAAACCTCTCCAAGATAAAATCATCATAGCTTTAGGTAGACAAAGAATTCCTGAATTCAAAGTAGACTAATCATTAAGAGAATGAAATGGCAAAAAAAAAGAAAAAAAAAAGAAAAAAAAGAAAAGAGAATGAAATGGCAAGCCATAGAGAGGATATTTATTTGTTATAACACATAACTGGAAGAGAGCTTGTATCTAGGATATATAAAGAATTTATTTAGGGAACGAGCAGTTAGCGTAATGGCTATGTCGCTGAACTCCCACGTAGTTGACCACGGTTCGCGTCCTGGACCCGGTGGCTTAAATCTCACGCCAGGCGCGTGTGCATGCGTGCCCAAGATCCCGAGAGGAGAATGGAGGAGAAGGGATTGCGGCGTGACCATCCCCCTGGGAGGTGATTTCTCGCTTTCTGTCTCTATGTCTCTGTCTGGCGAGCGCACGCGCCTTATAGCAAACACCCCTCAAAAAAAAAAAATTAAAATAAAAGAAAAAGAAAAAGGAAAAAAAAAAAAAGAATTTATTTAAATCAGTAAGAAAAACACAACCTAATAGAAAAAACCAAGATACTTGACAAGACATTTGAGAAAAGAAGATAAACAAATGGCTAATAAACAGTCCATACCTCTATCTCATTAGTAATCAGGGCAATGCAGATTAAAACTACAATGAACACTACTTCACACACATACTTGAATGGCTAAAAAGACTGGCAATATCAAGTGTTAGGCTATGGAACAACAAGAACAAAATCTCATATTCTGCTGGAAGAAATACAAACTTAAACACCCACTTTAAAAAACTATTTAGGGGCCAGCAGATGGCATGATGGTTAAAGCACTGGACATATCTAGATGGTTGACCATGGTCCGAGTCCCAAACCTGGTGGCTTGCTTTCTCACTTTCTCTGTTTTTCTCTGGTCAAATTAAAATAAATGAATACAATTAAATAAGTCATTAAAAAAAAAAAAAACTGTAGTGGGACCAGCAGATGGCATAATGGTTACATTGCCAGATTCCCACGTGGCCGACTGTGGTTCAAATCCCAGACCTGGCAGCTGAAAACTCACACTGGGCACGTGAATGTGCGTGTCCAAAATCCTGAGAGGAGAATGGATGAGAAAGGATTACGACATGGCTAGCTCCCCGAGGGGTGATTTCTCACTTTTTGTCTGGTGAGCACACATGCCCACAGGAAAAATCTCTTGGGAAAAAAACTTGTTTATCAACATTTACTAAAAGTGAACATACACATAACTTTATGTGCGCCAGGACTTGGTCCACAGCAGCATCATTCACAGTGGTCTCACACTGGAAACTCAAGTGTCTGATGGTAGCAAAGAAAATCAAATGTGGTGTACTCATATTACTGGACAGTAAAGAGAAATGAAAATGAGTGAACTGCTACATGCAATAACGTGTAATTCTC